CGACATAGAGAGTGCGACGAACTTTCGTCCTACCGCAGTATGCAGTATTCAGGTCAATACCCCCAGCCTTAAACTCCTAACGTCGAGCCATTCGTCCCCTATGGCTTCAGAAGACACAGCCACATGCCAAGCCCCCACCCCCCACCCCCGCCTCCGACTAAAGTACACACGCTAGACCGCCATATATCACGAGAAAGGCCCACGTGCCCCAACCAACAGCTTGGACCAAAGCCTTGAACCAAGCCGCAACTTGACTTCCTGGAACGGTTGAGGGTTTAGGAGTTTAGGGCTTAAGCCCTTAACCCTTAACTCTTATCCCCTGCACCCGTGAAGGCCCCCAAAATCACCTGCTTGAGGACGATGATCGGAATCCTAGGGCGGCCTGAGCATCCAGGTGAACCCATAGCCCTAAGCTCTAAGGGAAGTGGTCTCGGGGTCTTTGACCCCGCAAGCTTTCGTACTACTAATATATAACTGAATACTAGTGGCGCTTGTGTTAACAATTACTGTAACTTTTCAACAAAATTCCCTAAACCCTGAACCCTAAACACGAACGTGCTCATTATGATGTGCAAGCCCAGGGGCCTCCAATTACTTAAATGAGAGGTTACTAACAAGCTGATATGTCACCCAGGTACGTACCCATTTTATAGGTAAACAGGAGCCCCAGGGAATCTCAGTGATTTCGAAAATCATCTGGGCAAATCCCTAAACCCTAAGCCCTATAAGCCCTAACCCGAAACCCTATAAGCCCTAAAGCCTATAAGCTCTAAACCCTAAACCCTAAAACCTACACTCTATAACCCCTAAACCCTAAACCTTATAGGCCCTAAACCCTATAAGCCCTAAAGCCTAAAACCCTAAAACCTACTGCAAACCCAGAAGGCGCATCATCTTTGCCAGGTGGCGGTTTCCGAGAATAGGGGACCCTAATATAGTACCCTAAATAATAGGATCCTTATTATAAGGACCCCAAATGAGGTATCCTAGTTTTCTGAAATTCCCAGGTCGAGCCCGGTGGCCATATGTGGCCCATGGAGTGCCGGCTCCCCACATCTTCCCAAAGGGACTTTTTAGGGTTCAATAGGGTTTAGGGTTTAGGCCTTGAGATGCCCAGAGAGCCCAATACCCCCTAAATAAGGACTACGGCTTAAATCATAAGATGAAACCCCTTATAGTTTAAGCTATATTCCTTATTTAAGGTGTATTGGGCTCTCGGGGTTTGAGTTTGAGTTGGGTTCTAGGATTCAGAATTTAGGGTTTTAGGCTTGGGAGTGGTAGGTTTATGGGGTTTACAGGGTTCAGGATTCTTGAACCAACTAGCTGAAGCCGAGGGCGTCTTCAAGTATCTTTTTGCATGGGCACCCAAAACCCTAAACCCTAAACCTTAAACTCTAAACCCTAAACCCTAAACCCTAAATAAACCCTATAAACCCTAAACCCTTGGGGTCGTGCAGAGGGCAGGTTCCGAGGCACTGGTCTAATATAGGGGCCTGAATGATTACCTGGGTTCTGGAGTACCATACTTGAATACTTTGTTTGAGACCTGTTCCTTAAGGGAACCATTATGAAATTAAAGTCTACACTTTTTTCTCCCTGGTTACTTCAAAGTCTAATTACCTATACTATTTTGGGGGTTCCTTGCTATAAGTACAGTATAATTGGCCCCAAAACCCTCTTCTAATTGTTAAGGCCCCTCAGCTGGCGGTGCAGCTCGTCCCCATTGCACCGGCCGCCCCCGAGAGGGCCGCAGATACGATGCAATCCCTGGCCCGTCGGCTGTGAGTACGTGCGCCAAAAAAAAAAACTGGGAGCCAGGGCTGACTGCGTGTGGGACGCCATCCAGTCCATTAATCACCGACTCACCCTCCTTGAGCTCCGAGGTGTTGCAGTTCACAGAGACTGTGTCAGATCCGCAACGGTGCCATGAGGACCAGCAGCGGCAAGCCGGGTCGTGCGATAACAGAAGAGGAGAAGACTGCGATGAAGAGAAGGGTCGCGCAAATCGACAAAGAGAAGGAGAGCAAGGCTGCGAACTCAGTGGTAGACCGTCTGTAAGGAGTGCCATAAGGGTTCTATAGGATTCAGGGTCTCCGTGCTTTAGTTTTTCCGAAATTTTCGGGCTCTTATAAGGAGGATCTCAAGATGTTACGTTGATACGAGGGTCCCTTCTTTTCTGAGGTTTGAAACCTACGCCCTCCATCTACCCTCTATTAGACCCCAAGTACCCATTATTTGGGGCCATATACAGGATCCGGGGTCTCTTGGCTTGTGTGGCTTTTGGTTTGGCATTTGTTGGGTTCGGGGTTGCGGCCTTTGAATCCTAAACCTTAAACCCTAGAAGCCTTGGAAAACCCTAACCCGAGGTTCAAATTAGCCCAAAACGGTCAAAGCCTTGAGAAACCTAGAACATCCCTCTATATCTTCTACCCCCTGGTGCCTTGCTTTGGGGAAGTCCAAATTCCTCCACAGACCACGGATTCTGGAAAGAACCCGAAGAGAAGTTCGAGTAGCGCCATGGAGGGTTTAGGGGTCTACAGTCCCACAGTACCTTTATAGATCCCTAAACCTTATAAACCCTTAAAAAACTCCCGGTTTAGGCCTTAGCCTATCCTGCTTTTTGTTGCTTCGATCTTGGCACCGACCCAGGTCCCAAGGACTTCGCTCACCGCGCCTCGACGATGCTCTCGAACCGGAGCCGTCTTTGAGAAGGAAAAAAAGAGATATGTTGAGGTTTTGCATGTTGTTTGGGAGGGGGGGGGTATGGGGTACATAACTGGGATCTATAGCAGAGCACTTGGGAGGTGATGAGCGGTTGTGATGGTAGGGTGCACATATGTTTTGGGGTGTTGAGGGGAGGGGGTGGTGCGTGTTGTTTTCACTCCCTGGGGGTTCACCGATCTAGGGACTACCTTTAAGACCAAAGTATCTACTACAAAGGGTGCATGGACCCTTCGGGTATGGCTTGACGGATTTTGGGGTTTTGGCGTTCAGCACTGATCTGGGTGCATCTGGGTAACCGACACGTTCTACACTGGAGGGTTTAGGGTATTTGCGTTAATGTAGGATGTAGTCTCGCTTGAGGATTTGCAGTCTGTTGAGCTGAAGCATTATATAAACTGCATCGGGGCTCAGCGGGGTCGCCAAGCGCTCCAGCCCAGCCGTCGTGATGTTATGACTGCTGTTGCTGGGATGGCCGTTGTCATTGCTGTTTCTACCCTAACCCTACATACACTAAGCCCTAAAATGTCATTCGTGATCTGACGCTGCAACCTGCTTTGTGCAGCCAGGCACGGATGGGCAGAACAGGGCGCGCCGTGAGCATCTACACCCCGGAAGAGTACCCAAAGGCCGTACGACGGTTCAGGTTGCAGGGGTTTAAGGTGTATTAAGGGTAGTGCTAGGGCATTGTGAGGGGTTCATTTCAAGGATAAACCCTACTCTGGGTTGTCAGGCTCGGATATTAAAGATCCGTGCCACAAACTATCAAGGCACCCCATAATTATTAGCCCACTTAATGTAGGGGCGTTAGTAATTAGAATAGGGTTTTGGGGGGCTCCCTGACTCCCTGCTATAATTATGGTATAATACACCCCCCCAAA